AATCGGTCCAAACAAATTGTTATAGTCATGATATTCTGTTCCACGAGCCAATGGTCGAATGCCCATACTGGCCAGAAGTTTGTATTCTACAGATGTCGACATCTCGTAGGTGGTATGAGGAATGAAGGGGTATAATGATGTTGTTTGTCTGGATAGTCAAGCCGAGCTTATAACCTTTTAAACAACAAGGATTACAGCAGCGATTTGGACAATGTTGACTTAGGCAGGGCAAAGATGTAAAGATGAATTTCAATATCCGAACTGGAGAAATATTCTCACAAAGAACAACAATAGGGAATAAAATATAACAGGAAAGACTGCTATGACCCAACTGCGAGTAACGGAGGAAAGAGAGACAGATTGGATAACGAATGAAAACAACTAACAAGGGAAAACAAGCTGCCTTTTATCCTCCCCGAGATCATACTGATCTGCTTCCACATGCTTCCAGCGTATGCCGTATTCTCTATCACATTCAGTTTCACTATTGCCCATTGTGCCTCTCCGGCCGAGAATAAGTGAATTCGACCAAGGGTATACTCTGGCCGAGGACATTCAGCATTTCCATATGATAGGGGTAATGCCCTAATATGGAGTTGTCGCAGGTATCATCGCAGATGTTGTCGCATATGGTGTTTGATGTGGAGGGCTAACCAGTAGTAAAACATTAAGGCGTCAGAGTAGTTGATACCAAGAGGGTTAGGGTTGTGTGGTCGTTGCCATAAGGGAAATATGCGGTGAGCAGCCAAAAAACACTTCTGTCCAACACGATGGACCTAGTAGCAACTTGTGGTCGAAAACTAGCCGCAAAAAAGTGGGGTAGTTTTCTCTAGTTTAGGTGTCCAATACCCGACATTTCTGGCGCGGAAAGATTCTGAAGTTAGACCGCAACCCCCCGTACACGGGAGAGAGGCTGCTCGAGGGGGGCCTCTAGAACTGTCAGTTGGGGTGGGTTGTTGCCCTGGTGGATTCCCCGCGGGTTGTACAGTACCCCCAGTCTTCTCCCGGTAGCGCCCCCTCCCTCTCTAGACCCAAAGCTAAACCCGGGGGGTGGGCCCAGCTCATTTGCGCGACTTTTATCCGTCTTGTCCGTGCTGGTTGAAGCCGTTTTAAGTGCACCTAGAACTGGGGACATCTATTTATGACTTTGGGGGAATCGCTTGGGACCCAGACTTTAGGAGGCATTTATTTCACCTCTCATCATTCAATTTACTTGTGGATGGGTTTTATCAAACTCGAGATTATTCACCCCCCCGGGGAAATCTATTGGTATTATGTGGTTGTGTTGCTGCACCCCGTCGAATCCAGGTGTTTTTCGTGTCTGACTCCCGAATGCATCAATCTGATGTCTCGTGCCAAGAGTTTAGATGACTAAGCCCACTTCGCGCTCATACCACAGCCACCCTACCCTACCATAGACCCCAACCCATAACTTACCCTTCCCTGCCCTCATAGGTTCCATCCCCACCATACCATCCCCTTCCCCCTCCTTCCTCGCTGCGCACTAGTTGTATCTCGGTATCATAACTACGCACAATGCAGAAAATTCCCCCCGCGACCCTACTAGAGTGTGAGGAGTACACTATCACAGGTACAGTACTTGGTTTTCCCCTCCTGCATATATTGCAATAGCGTATCAATTTCTGACAGGGGTTGACCAGGCGGCATCAAGATAGTTGACAGATGGTTCCGCACGGCGCTTGACTATTCGAACCCAGGGGCGGGCGAGATTACCTTGTTCGCTAGGAATGCCCTGCCAAATAAGAAGGGAAATGCGGAGTGCGGGGCCGCGTTGCCGTATTGTGGGTTGTTCCGGTTCCAAATTTTTGGCGAGCGGCGGCGGAGTCCGACTTTATTACTAACTAAAATGCTTGCATAGTTCTATACCTACAAGGTCGTACTCCGCTATCCACCCCCTACTATGGAATCAACGTTGCTGGAAGAAAAAACTAAATAAAATTAATAGGTGGACCCGGTTTCGAATGCGGTCCTCCGGAAAATCACCCACTGACAAATTTCCTTTTCGACAAGGGGTTTCAGGTCCTGTACCTCGACCAGCGCGGAACGGGTATGAGCACGCCAATATCGCCTCGCATGCTTGAAGAGGATCGTGGTGGGAAGAAGCGGAGTGCGAAGGAGCAGGCGGAATACGTGAAGTTGTTTAGGGCTGATAACATCGGTTTGTTTTTCGTCGCCGGTTTGTTAAAGCGGATAGGGCTGATGGGATGGGATGGGATGGGTAGTGAGGGACTGTGAAGCAGTTCGTCATGCACTGCTTGGACGGAAAGAGGAGGAGGAGGACAGGAAATGGGGTGTTGTTGGTCAGAGCTTTGGTGGGTTCTGCGCGGTTACGTATTTGTCATTTTAGTAAGTTATTTCCTCTAAAACTCTATACACTTTCGGAGTTACCTACGGTAGCTGATTGGTATACGGTATTGAAGCCCCGAGGGCTTGAGGGAGGGTATGCATAAATCATTCTGTCATCGTCATTAATTTCGTAGCAGTAGGCTAAGTTGGGAAATTAGTCTTCACAACGGGCGGAATGCCGCCGCTCGTGAATGATCCTGATGAGGTATACAAAGCACTGTGGGAAAAAGTGAGGTTGAGAAATCGGGTCTATTACAAAAAGTACCCGCTTGATATTGAGCGGGTTAAGGATATTCTGAGACACTTGGCAAAGGAAGACGTGCGGGTTCCTAACGGTGGACGCCTTACATCGAGGAGATTTTTAGGGCTCGGGTTGGCTTTTGGTGGCCATGGTAAGTCCTCTTTGAGCTTGATAGAAATTTGCTGATGGGTTTATCATGCAAGGTGGAATTGATGGTGTGCATCGTAAGTACCCTCATTCGTGATGCATTAGGAGTGGTGGATAGATAATTGGTAGATCTTGTACAGCGCGCACATACCGATCTAAAAGTTCTCGGCCATCTTTCGTATAAAGTTCTTCAATCCATCCAGGGAAACCAAAGCTTTGACGGAAACGTCTTGTACGCACTTGTTCACGAGCCAATATATTGTCAACAGTGAGTGCGCACGCTCGCCCACTCACCTCTTTAAAATTTACTAATGATTTACACAGCCGCGCTGCCGAATGGTCTGCTTTACGCACAAAGCCAAATGACCCGGAATTCAATTTGGCACAAAGCCTCGAAAGGAAAGGTCAGCCAGCATATTTCACCGGCGAGATGGTCACCCCCCTTCTTCCTTCTCCACTCACAAGTACTCACATCAATAGATCTTCCCCTGGACCTTCGAAGACCACGCCGAGCTCTCAAAGCTCCACTACGTAGCCAAAACACTCGCCGAATATACAGAATGGCCATCCCTCTACTGCGAGGATGTGCTTGCGGAGAACAGGGTCCCGGTTTATGCAGCGACGTACATAGATGATATGTACGTTGACTGCACACACGCGCGCAGGACTGCGGGAAAGATTCGCGGTGCAAAGGAATTTGTCACAAACGCTTTGATGCATAACGCGATTAGGGCGAGGACTGAAACAGTTATGGGGGAGTTGTGGAGGCTGAGGTCTGGAGAGGTTGATTAGACTATATAGAGGGTGGGTAGGGTGGCGGAGGCTTAATTGTCGGGGGCGGGTTTTTTTTTGTGGGGACGGTTAAAAACTTACATGAATGATGGAGGCTGTTTGCTTGCTATAAGTTGCTATGGTGCCAGAACCCGTGGATGGTAAGTGTGTAACTCCCGCAACTTTGATTTTTTTTTTTTTTAATTGGCGGGAAGTAGTCAACTGCATACTATTTTGAAGTCTAGAACCACAATGAAATCAATTTTTGAACGCAAAAAACTCTGCTCTGATTAAATTAAGTTTAAGAATAGAAGTTAGAATAAGGGGATGTGGACACACAAAACAAGGTGAAGGGATAATAATTCAGCATCTACTATACCGCACCGTACTTCTTTTTCCCAACGGAGAAACCGAAGTTACCGGATACCGATCACACCGATCAGGAAGATCTCATGCAGTGTTGTGCTCGAGTACTCGTGCCAAGGTTGTGGCACAGCCACAACCCACGGCAGCTCGCTGGCTCGCAACCGTGGGCACTCTCAAGAGAGTGCCCGACAGCTCAATGGTTCTTGACAGCTCAACGGTCCATTGCTGGTTGCCATGGCAACGCCCTAACTTTACACAATAAGACTATTCAGCAGCACATGAGAAATTAAGAATACAGAGAGATAAATTAGAATAGAGTATAATTTTGATTTAAATATACTATCATGAGAATACAGCTACTCTATATTACATTGATTTTTGCAGCCTTGATTGCTACTTAATACCCTTGATTATTAGTCTGGATATTTTCTTTTTATATGCTAGCATAGTACATCTGTCTTTGACATACATTTTCATCTCAGTTAGTAATGGTTTACATTCAGCATGCTCAGCTTTTTTCTTTGCATTTTGTGCACGTCTTAACTGGTTTTCAGCCTTTTCAAGCTCTGCATCCTCTCTTTTTTTAACCATCTGTCATGCATCTTCAGGATATATAACTCCACCTTTTTGCACTTGTCGTCTATTTTGACCCTTTCACTGTGCACTTCTTGCTTCCTCAGCTGCTCTGGTATTTTCCAGATGTTCCATAGCTAGGGCTCCGGACTGTGCTTGAGCTAGTCCACCCTGTAAGACTAGCTTCAGCCTGGGCTGAAATGTAGGAGAAAGATCTGCTGCCTTGCAGAGTAATTCATCTCCCTGTCTTTTAAGACTTTGGATTGTAAGTGGTATGGTAGGAGAGCTGATAGGAGGAGGGGTGACTGGTTGCTGAGGAGAAGGTTGAAACTCATGCAACTTGGTAAGTACAACATTAGAATCATAGGGGATTAGACCAGTTGCTTGGAATGAGGAGATAATTGTTTATTTTTTGAATGTGTACTGTCGTATAGAATCAATATGGTCTAAGAATTCTATTTTTTCCAAACTTTCCACATCCAGTACGAGTTGCTGCTTCTATTGCCTCTGCATAGTAATGCTTATTGGGTTGAAAAACAACCACATCTAAAGGCTGCAACAAGTGGCTCATATGAGGGGGTAGGCAGAAGACAACAATCTTATGCACATTACAGTAGTCAATAAACTGCTTTGTACAATGTGAGCTGAAACTATCCAGGGGCAGTAAACGATATTCTCCCACTTGACGTGGAGCAGAAAACTTTTGAAAGTGGGCTAGCCACATCATCGATAAATAGTCATTACTATAACCAGTCTCAGAAGCACCAATCAGGTAGTTGTTATGTATTGAGGTAGCTATGTACCAAGATTCCTGGTAAATAACACCAGGAATAATAATCATGGAAGGTAGAATACAGCCATCGCCACTAATTGTTTCACAAACTGAAATTAACTGACGATTAGTGGAGCTACCCAGGTATGTTTGACGATTTGGATCTCGGGTTATAATCCACTGGTCATGCCCAATACCTATACAGAATCTGGTTTCATCAAAATTATATATATCCTCCTTTCGAATCTCATACTGATAACAAACAATATGGTACTTCTCAAATCAGCTTTGTGTATCATCTGGATGATGGGCATTCTTGCGGTCAATGTCAATAGTCTTTTGCCTGCGCACATAATACTCAGGATGACGATAAAGAAATCTCCAAGCCCAATATTCGCTGAGTGTTGGTGCAGGCAATGCTCCGGTATGAGCATTTTGTAGAATTTTATTGGCACATCCTGATACCATCTGGAGCCTGGCACTAGTTCCAATATTGTCAAGCCTGTCCAGATACTGATATACAGCAGCCTCTTGGTCTTCTGTAAGCTTGCGGTTTGCAGCTGGATACTCCAACTTTGATTGTCGACCCTGCCAGAGTACATGAGGTCGTCATAGTGGAATTTCATATCTCATGGCTGTGGATGCAAGGTCGGGATTGTCTTCACCAGTTGTATGAAGGAGAGATATAGCAGCCTGAATGTGGGCTTCAATATCGACATAAGGTTCACAAAGTTGACTTGGAGGATTAAGCGCCTGCTCTGATGTTGACTGCATAAGGGATAGAAACTTGAGGAGAAATCTACAAGGCTATACCATGTTAACAAGTTGGAGAACTAGAGAGAGTGGGGGAGTCTACACATAATATGATAAGAAATTGGCAGAATGAGTAGAAAAGCGAGTGTGAAAGTATTGGTGAAAGTAAATAGTACAATAGTAGAGGCAGTCTATCGTAAAACTGTGAAGAGGAGAAGTGTGAGAGTGTAAGAGAGAGGTATAAATAGACAATTGAGTAAGACAGTCAGGATATAATTAGCATGGTCTTGGTGAAAGATACTACTATAGAATTGGTTAATCTACAAACTAGGTAAGCAGTGGAATAGTATATAGAATGCTGATAGTTCATTCACTTCAAGTTATACAATAATATTGAGAACCATATTTCTATAGCAATCAGCAATGGGCTATTGAGCTTTAAAAACCTATTGGACAAACAGTCACTCACTTGCAAGTACTCACAGTGGTGAGCCAGCAAGTTGATATGAGTTGTGGCTGTGCCACAACTTTGGCCCAAGTAGCAGAATTCTCAATATAGTAGATTCTAATGAGAATTATGCTCTATTCTAATTCATCTCTCTGTATTCTTAATTTCTCATGTGCTGCTGAATAGTCTTATTGTGTAAAGCTAGGGCATTGCCATGGCAACCAGCAATGGACCATTGAGCTGTCAAGAACCATTGAGCTGTCAGGCACTGTCTTGAGAGTGCCCACGGTTGCGAGCCAGTGAGCTGCCGTGGGTTGTGGCTGTGCCACAACCTTGGCACGAGTAGGTAAAATAATTCCCAAGCGGGGTCGTTCAAGCGAAGCCATTCATGCTGTATTTCTAGCTTCACAATAGCTTTGTTAGCGAATTTCTATTTTGTGGTGTTTTTATTTCCTTCTTAGTCATAAAGTGGCTTTCTTGATCACAAACACGCACGGGTAAATGTGAAAATAAGAGACTGATAAGAGTGGAGGAATTGTATAAGGTGATAGATAGAGTGAGATTCAAGTTCTTGGGATATTCGCGATAGCAGAAGATTGATTGTCCAGTTCACTCTCTTTTCTAACTACATGACCAGGTCCTTCTTAATAGGATCTGTTTCCTCCAATATCAAGTCCATGTGGGTGAAAATTTTCATTCCCACATAAGGGAGTGAAATATTTTCTCCCGCTAAAGAAAGAAAATTTTTACCAGTAAGGGGTAGAGAGTTTCAAAGGAATGAATGAAACAAATAGCTTGAGGATATCCTGATCTCCTAACTTCGCAATAATGAAACAAGCAAGGAGACTACCAAGTGTTTGAAGAAATAAAAAAGAGAAAAACTCATGTGACGGGGACCAAGAATCCAACAGTAAATTTAGTTGATGGCTTGTGTGGCTGTTGCAAAACCCGCGAAGTGGTCTATAGCTTGACTAAATTTTGGCCATTCACAAGTGATCCAGACGCTTCTCCCTTTTTTACCGGGTTGGAAAATATTCCCAAGGAAAGAGTTCTCCCCCTGTGTTCCCATTCAAATCACATCCCAAAAGCCGACCAACCTGGTGGAGAAACCTCCATAAGGCATATAATATTATATTCTCCGGATGCAGCTTTGTAACAACAGAGATAGACGACGGCCCTGCCTTTGCAACCCTATATTCCAACCGGGAGACTTTGCTCCTGGCCAACTTGGACACCCCGGGACCCAAGATCAGGAGGTTCACTTGAAAGCCAGTTGGATTTCAGAAAGTGGTTTACAACCCGACTTCTCTGGGATCTAGTGAATTGCTTGTGCGGGGACATGGAGTGTACTCAGTGCTACTGGTAGTACGAGCACGAGTGCAGTCACACGATTGGGTCGGACGCACGGTACAGGATACTTGAGAGGGTGCAGCGCACCATCAATCTGACTTGCCATGATACAACTTACCGGACTGAGTATATTTCATTTTAACCTTCTTAAATTCTATTCTAGTCCCTGGTGGCTTAGGTCCTCTTAATTTTATCCTTGTATCTTATCTTGCAGAATGCGCAGTTGGATTCACTGTGTCAACGAGCTCTTTCGGTGTTGAGGTGATGCAATATCAGCAACGCAAATTCCATATTTCGGGCTTTTGCTAAGGATCTAATACCATACCATGGGAAATCTCCTCCCATATATATATAGGGAAACACTCCATCCTCGGGTGAGATTGGAAATACACCGCTCTGTCCCAAATCAAATATTACATATGCAAGGGAATCCGGTTAATGGAGTAGGACAAATTTCAACACACTTGTAGTGCGGTGTATGGGGCTTTTTGGCGCTACATACTCACTGACTTTGTACTTGTGCTATGATGTACTGTACTCGAACATGTATGTTGAGGTTAATATGTGGCTAGCTAGCTACGTAGGTTAATCATCGCCATAGATTAGCAGACGTCGTCCGAAGAGGTTTGATGCCTCTGGAATTCTTGACTGAAGGGATCAACAGGAACTTTGGTCCTCTGATACAACCCCATTTTCACACATCATAGAACGTGCAAACATCAAGAATCCTCATCCTCATCTAACGTGGCGCCGCACATGCGTCACAGCACATCACTTACCTGACGATAGGGTTCGGACAGCAGATTTACACAACACACGATACGAGATACTATGATATGATACTATACACTACGCTTAACCTACCGTAAACCCGTCAGATGCCGTTAACGAGATAGGCTAGCACAAAAAAAAAACCTCTCAGATATTAAGGGGGATGTAAGATTGGGAACGGTGAAGGGGGGCTATACATGGTGTACTGCAGCGGGAAAGGAATCTGATTTGGATTTCGAAATATGT